ATATGATGGATGTGGACATATGAAGAGTTAAATTTGGGAAAATGCATCTTGAAACAATGCTCTATTTTCATCATATTATCATTACAGATGATCCAATAAAATGTTCTCCTGTGCAATATTATCATCAAGTTTAAGGTTGAGTCGACAAAAATGATCTATCCAACTACCTCAGGATATGCATACAACGTGCAGTTTAACAAAACTTAGGGTGATTGAAGTAAATTCTGATGATAGTAAAATTTCTTGATAGGTATTCCTACAAGAAATTATATGTTATATTTATTTACATAGAAAGTTTGGAAAACTGTGTGCCTATCGTGGTTAAGTTGTAGCAATTTTTATCTCCGTTTCAGTGGTTTCCAGCTAAATGTCAGCTAAAACCAATCCAAAAACTCATTAGCGTTTTCATTTTTTACAGATAAAAAAACTTACAAAATGACTAAAATCAACATTGTCTTTCAGAACTTTCCACGGCAATGCTCTTATTTTTTGAGAGATTATTTTGTGTGGACGTCGAACGGAATTCATCATCCGGAGACTAATTAGAATGCGACGATATCAGTGGTATCGAGCCGCGGTGTCGAGCAGTACCGAGCAAAAGGAGACTGGCGCATTCTGGTTAGTCTTTGGACGGTGTTCGGCGTCCGCATAAAATAATTTCACCTATTTTTTCTTATGATAAAGCAAAGATAAAGATTTATTTGGAACAAATTTATTATTATATTTTAAAGCAACTTTTTAATATAATAATTTTTGAAATTAGAATTTTTGTACTAAAAAATTACTCTGAAAAATAGTAAGAAAACTGTCTAATACTCAAAGTCTAGACATTTCATATTAATTACGTGTTTGACCGTTCATTAACTATTTGTATGAGGCCACCATCACTTATCTCATTACCTATATATATGTATATATAATTTGAATTTTCTAACAAATAGAAATATGATTTGAATTGGCTTTCTATAGGAAATCCGTTTCTTAATAAATGAAAACAGGTATTTAATATGATTTTCTAACAAACTTTTATTTGGGCTACATATAATTCATAAAATAATTTATATCATACATTTTCTTAAGAGTGCATCCATAAGCTATTTATTATTAAAAATTTTCTCGGACAATCTAATATATCTATATATTAGCAATGGAATCACAATTTTTTCCTTTCTAAAATAATAAAGACTTAAACATGATCATTACAATACTAATCAATGCTTATGCATTAATTAGCTATAATACAACATTATTAAAAAAATATAAAATAGAATGCAAATGTTGAAATTTTCTATTTAATAATTAATATATATATAAGAATTTGTTTTCAATTTTTATCTTTTATATATATATATATATATATATATATATATTATACTAAGTCATAATAATAATAAATAAATAAATATTTTTATCTCTTAAATTATAAAAGATTCAACCAATTAATACATGATGTAATTTGTGTACTAAATTTTATCCTAATCTTAATTAATACAAAGAGTAATTTGACCATAACTTTTTTTTTTTCTTATAAACTTTAAAGGTTTGAATGAATTTTAAATTTAGTTTTGAAGTTTTAATGGATAATGAAAGGGAGTGTATCATTTTCAAAGCAATAATATAAATAAATAATGAATTTAACATATTTTTTTAACTTATTTAGGTTCGTTTGGTACAATTTCTTACTGCTTCTTAAAACAGTTTTGTAGTAAAAAAATTTTAAATTTAAAAAATTAAAATTTTTAAGAATCAATAAAAAAATATTATAAAAAACTTTAATCTATTTAGTATAATCTATAGTCCATATTCTATTGTTATTCATTTCATTCTTTTCTTAGTTTATCTAAATAATCAATTTGGAAAATTCTTTTCTCCTAAATATTAAAATTTTCAATATGACTATTAAACACTAAATTTAATTAAGACTTATTAAGTTATTATTTAACTATCATTATAATTTTCTTTCTTTTTAACTCTTCATTCCTAATAAATCTGAATAATTTACTTATTAATACGAGTTGATTTTTCAAAAATCCTAAAGTTCAAACTTTGACAAAAATGTTTATGTAATGGCCGATGACCAGTCCAAATACGACTTCTATGGTAAGAACAAATGTCGACGACCATTCAACCTGTTCTTTTGATTTAAATAAATGAATGAGCGGGATCCTCTTAACCGAACAGATCAAAGAGAGAGCAATGAGTGAGATGAGGAGAGTTTGTGTTACTGGAGCAGGAGGTTTTATTGCCTCCTGGCTTGTGAAGCTTCTCCTCTCCAAGGGCTACAAGGTTCATGGCACCATCAGAGATCCAAGTACTAACTAGCTACATCTTTTCTTTTCTTTTTTAATACATATATATGGTATTAGTCATGAAATTTAAAGGTTTGTTGTTTGCTTCTAGAGCTCCTCGTACACACAAATCTCCTTGGTGTATTGGTTGAGAGCTTAGGCTTCCAACTAAGAGGTCCAATGTTCGAGTCTTTGTGTATGCGTTGTGTGTGTGAGTTTGCCTTAAATGGCCTAAATGTCCCAAAAAAAAGAGAGCTCCTCGTACGTTATTTTTCATGACCTATCGTTATAAAATTATTATATATATAGTTAACAGGTCAGGTGGAGTTGGATAGATGGGCAACTCATAGGCATTGACAAAGTCAGAATTATTTATTTGTTGGGGGCACAAATTTCTAATTTGAAAAATGCCTTCAATTTTTTTTTTTTTTACCCTTAAGCTTTTTTATTCAAGCTTGAAATAGATATTAGGGTTTTAATTTTTTTTTTAAAATATCAAACTTAAGTTTTTCATATCTAATTTAAAAAAAAAATCTTTAATTTTTTTTTATAACAAGCAATAAATATATAAAAAAGCTGAATCTTATTAATAAAAAAAATTATAATTAGCATATTTTAAGCTACTTGATTTAAATTTAATTCAAGGAATTGGTCCTAGAGAAATTTGCTTTTTTTTTGTTAGGTACCTCGAGAAACTTGATAGTGACTATTGTGATGCTATCTGAGTTTAACCAATGAATAAGGCTTCATTTATGACAGCTTTATTATTGCTTTATTTTTCAGATCCTAATAATAATTTTTAGCCTACATTTAACATCGTTTTCTTGTTATTTTTCAAAACAATTTTCTAGTATAAAATTTCGTGAAATTGAAAAAAAAAAAATAATAATGTTCAAAAGCTATTCCAAACAAAGTTTTATTTGGCCATTACTTTTTACTACTTTCAATCAATTTTTATGCTATGAAATAGCTTTTCAGTGTAACTTTAAAAAGTTATTTTCTTCACAATAGTTTTACAATCATATTTATAAAAAAATTGTAGTCATCCAAAATGAACCCTATGATTAATTGTAGAAGCTACAACATCTCTTTTAATTTGCAAAGAAAAATATGTCTCAATCTTTATAAAGTCCCCTAAGGCAAAACATGATTTATCAAATAACTTTGATAATAATTTGTTAATTAGCACCGCCAATTAAAACTTTTACATCTAGAAAAGATGTTTGAATCTAAGTAATACTAAACTACCTTAGCAGCGGTGGAGCCAAAAATTTTATTCAATGTTCTAAATTAAAATAGTTTTATTTGTCATCTCATTCAGAATGTTAAAATACATTAAAATAGTTATGTTTGTTGTCTCATTACCAGACCAAGAGGAGTTGTAAGATCAAAATTACACGAACTTGAGAACAATGATGTTCTGAGTGGCTAAGAAATATATTTGAAGTGCAACCATCAAGTCTAGTTACTATTTCCTTTCCAATGCTCAATATATATTCATCCTAGTAAGAATTTACTAATACATAGGAGGAAAGGTGAGGCAAAGAAGTGTGTGAAGTATATACTAATAGAAAGGCATGACAGCAGGAGCCTCAGTTATAAAGAAAATGAGAAATATCAAATTGGTTGATGACATAGATATCTAAATGAGAAGCTAACTGCCCCTAAAGAGTGGAAAATTCTTTGATGATCATCTTCACCATTGAATAACCATGATCAATTGACATTATTTAATTCATTTTCTTTCTTATATTGATGCTTGAATAAGCTTTTCATTTAATAAAATCCTTCCATAATGAAAGATGGACAAATTGTATTAGCTTTCTTTATTGTAAAATTACATATTAAGGTTAATCGAATCCAAATATATGAAAAAAAAAATCTATTTTCCAAAAACCAAAAAGCTAAGTGTTTTTGGAATACATTTTTATACTAACAAAAATACTTTAAATATCAGTAAAAATTTGTTCTAAATAAAGCCTTGTCATCGTTAATTAAGTTCATATAATAAGAACTTATCCCACTCTAAAAGCTAAGTTGTTGTGGAATAAAAAAGTAAGCTATAGGGGAGGGTCCTCTAGAGAAGTAGGAGAGTTGGATATATGTTGTTAGCAAGTTTAATATTTTTAAATAACACATGTCATAAGCTTCAAATAACTTTATTAACTTGTAATCATAATGAAATTATTATAAATTTAAATTTAAATTTTATATAGAAATAAATTTTGGTCAAATAAAAAAATTATCATTAGATTAAAAAGTTTAGAAATTTTTTTTGTTTAAAAAATAATTTTAAATTTATACAAAATTTATTTTTCTCAAGCTTTCCCTAAGAATTTTGACTTTAGCATATTTTTAAAATATAAAAGACTTTTTTTTTTAAAATTTCTCATTGTTATTAGATTGATTCAGTGTAAATAAAACCCAAGAATTTTTCACTTATTTAAATTAATGAAAAAATTAAATACTTTTTCCTTTTTTTTTTGTTTGTGTTTCATCCATTTATTTGAAATTAAGTAATCCATGTTATCAGTGTTAAAAGCAAGTTATAAAAGAAAATCAAAGAGCATGAAAATATAATAACTTTATCAGTTAAGTAGTATTTGAATTTTGGCTTATGTCTACTGTGTGGCCGCCGGTAATTTCACCTGGCGGTGACGGGGAAGCATTATCCATCTTGTTGAATTTGGCCTTTATCAACGTCTTCTCTGATAAACCACCGCCGTGGTGCTGCCTGCACCTCCTCCACTTGCGATTTCAGTAGACCTTGTAACCTCCCATCCAACTCCTCCTGCCCTACTCCCAGCCCCGAAAAATCTCCACCGTTTCTGACTACTCCCTCGAGTGCTCGTCGCCGATTCGCCTCGCCCTTCCTGCCTCTTCCTTCTACGCTGGATGTCTCATCGGCGGCCTCTCCCTTGCCACCCTCACCGACTCCCGCCTTGGTTGCAAAAACGCCCTTGTTTTCTCCACTTTAATCATGTCTCTGGCCGCCGCCCTTACTGCATTCTCTCCCAACCTAGCCGTCAACGCCGCCCTGCGCTTCGAAATGTAATTTTAGATTCATATTAATAGTGCTTATGCATGGAAAATGAATTGTTAAATTCTTTATTGTTTTGATAAAATCGGTATACTTATTAAGCTCTGACTTGTCCAAGGTATTGAGGATACCTCCCATTTGATGAAGTTGGATAAGGCCACAGAGAATCTGCAACTCTTTATTGCGGACTTATTTGACTACAATGCTATTAAGGCAGCCATTTCTGGTTGTGAAGGAGTTTTCCATCTTGCTAGTCCTGTTATTTTAACTGGAATGTCAAATCCAGAGGTAATAATAGTTTGAATCAAGTTTTGTGAATTCTATTCTTTCAACCTTTTTTGTTGGCTGAATGGTACGTTGATACTATATCTTCAGGAAGAAATAATAAGACCTGCTCTTGTGGGCACTAAAAATGTACTCAAAGCATGCTCAGAGGCAGATGTGAAAAGAGTTGTGGTTGTTGCATCTGCTGCTGCTATAGCATGCAATCCAGATTGGCCACAAGACACTGTATTGGATGAGAGTAGCTGGTCAGATGAAAAGTTTTGCAGGGAGACTAAGGTAATTTATTTCCTATATGTTTGAGAAATATGTATTTCTTTTTAATATAGGAAATATTTTACATTAAAAATAGTTTACTATTTATAATATAATGATAATAGGTATAATTTTGCATCCTATTATGTTATAAATTATTATTTATTTCATCCAGAATCACAATGTAATATGATTTTATATCCTTTAGTTCTATGTTGCAAAGTGTCTATCAAATCACCGTGCTTAGTTATTTTAGATGTTTTTATATGAGAAGGGAGAGATTAGAAAAAAAAAAACGTAATTTTGCACTTTCCCCAATTCTACGAAGTTTTATTTATTAAAGAGGATGATAAAGGATAGTTGGAGATGATTGATGATCCCCCATGATAAAGAAGCCTTCAATCTTTTTCATGGAATTTGGATGTAGTAATACCCCTTCCAATTTAAATGTCCACATTCATCATTATTACCAACTCTGTTGACCAATAAATCAATGGCAAATCTTTGTGGTCAAGTAAAATTAAATGCTACAACTTCTACTATCTGATCCAATCAAGTAAACAATCATGTTCTCTCAAGTGTGTCCGTCGTTTATTAAGATAATTATCAAAATACTTGATATGTGTAACATCTACGAGGGAGTAAATAAAAGGTGGGCCAAATATAATTGTGATCAAATCTGTGTTAAACCTAAATATTTAATTTTATGATGCAGGTCAACCACTCAATATTTCTATATAATTTTTCTTTTTTAGATTTTTTGATATGAGGCGACAATTAAAAGCCTTTTGTGCATACGTAAAAAATTCATCCATCAAATTATGGTCTATTAAATATTATATTAGTAATGGTGATGACTACATTCTCTTCTATCAACAGTTGTCCTTATAATGACCTGAGGATTTTCTTTGACATTTTTATAGTTAAATGTTTTCTATCAAAATGGATTTATGATATAGAGAGTTTGAGAAGTGCTTTTCAAACCTAGGTCTATAATTAATATAAGGGATACCAACAATTTCAACGCTATTGATAGAGTTCCTTTCGATGTTGATGTCTTCCATATAGAAAACTCTTCAATTACTCTCATATTATTTGGGAGTATGACTCTCTCCCCCAATGGGCAATGGAAGTAATGGCTTGAGGTGCCATGATTATTTTCCATATATAGTATATGAAAAATCAAAGTAAACAACTCCCTATTTTGATATAATAAATAAAATTGTTCTTTCCTCTCTTACAAATCCATGCCTCACAATACTTGGAGAGTTTATGTATATTATCTCCATGAATGGCATACTATGTTGATAGTTGATTTTGTTGATGAAGATGTTATGGGGTAGATGCCTCATCATTTTTCAAATTATGGTATTATTACTAGGGCTAAATTATGATTAAACTTCTTTGGATCTACTTCCACCAATTTTCCTTTATAATTAGGAACCTCATTAGGAAGACTCACTAGCAGGTGCTGGGAGTGGCTTAGATCAGTGATTTGATCAAATTGGTGGATGGCTACTGGCTAGGCTCTCTTAAGATGCTTAGGAGATTAAGGATATATTTTCTAGGAGCCAATTTCTTTAGTAAGGTTTGAAAAAATGAGTTGAGGATGAATTAAATCATGAAGGTGGTGGCAATGAGAAGAAATCATAATTAATATTTTACTCTTTCTTCAAAGCTTCTCATAAGGATTTCAATGTATGGTAAGCAAACCTTTTATTGACATTAAAAAAAAAAAACTTTTTCTTATGATTCAATCATTTTGGAAACCTCTTCTTATTTTTTTTGGATGATTTTAGTGTACATATATGAGCTTATATGTAGTGATGGCTAACACACGCCAATTGTGTTAAAGAAGTGGAGCATTAATTTCCTCTCATTAATGTTCTTGTAAGGCTTGATGTTGTTGTTGTATTAATAGGAGCCATTTCAATTAGATAAATATACCACCCAAAAAAGAAATATTCATTGAAAGGAAAATTAAAAAGGGGTTAGTATTGGTGTCACCAAGTGAAGTAGATTTCTTGATCAAGTGCTTTATGAGTAACATTGGCTAGCTGAATTAAGTTAATAGAGAGTGAAGTATTGTTATGGCTCCATTTGAATTGATTTATGAACAAGGGCATTGAAGAACTCTGTTGCATGAAATTAGGTGAGAGAATTATCATACGACACTAGCCAATGAATAAGAAGATTGTAAATGTTAAGTTAACACCCTACACTAATATAAGGTGTTATTAGGCCGATAATAAAAGTAATATGAGCAAAAGCATAAAGATGTTCTCTTCAACAAAGGAAATACTATAGGAAAAACGCTCAATACTTGCAGAGATTTCAGGCAAAAAAGGCTCTTTTTCGGTTGTTTTTAAAATTTATGGCGGTTTTCCGGCGGTTAGAAAGTCGTTGGAATAAATCACGTATGAAATTGAAGCTGGCGGTCTTTTTCTGGATGTGATAGTTTCTGACGGTTTACCGGTGGCTATAAAGACCGGAAATTTTTTGTGGCAATAAATCAGAGAGAACACTGGAATTTACCAGTGCAATGATCGGCTGTAAGGTTGCCAGCAAATGCGTCGTAGATAGAACATTCCGACGGTCAATTGACTGCCTGAATTTAAAGCACTCGAAGATAGAAGATTCATTTTCAAATCATGATGCTAAAGTAGAGGTGAAAATATAGTTAAAGAGACTTTTTAAATTGTTCTTATTACGCAAAAAAGTCATCCCTTGAATTTAATGACAACAAAAGAATCCTTACCAACTATTGATGGAATTGTCATTACTGTAGAACAAATACCTTACATCATTTAAAGCACTCAAAGATAGAAGATTCATTTTCAAATCAAGTACATGACTAATACCCATATCATTTTACTCATACCTAACTAAAATTTTAGTCATTTTATCAAGTATTTTCAAATATATATTGTTATGACAAAATTTGTAATATAATATTATTTTTTATGTGTATATAGGATAATCATTTTACTCATATCTAGAAAATAACATCCTATCTTGAACTATATTACATGACTATGTTAAGTAATTAATTCATTAATCATTAAACTTGAATCCTATAGTCACTAGTTATTACATCATAAGAAACTATATTTTCCCAATTTATTTCCATATTAACATATATTGATTTGCCCTTTAGATGGTTTTCACATATCTATTGTCTCCTTATTAATTCATAACAATTGCTCTTAATTTCTCGTTTGCTTCTTACAGTAACAATAAGCCTTATTTCACCTTAAAGACTAATCTTTAGATGTAGACCTTGTAACTAATGATATGTCCCTAATGAATAATCTCTCAACTTTTTGTTTTCAATACCCTCAATCTTGGAGGTAAAATCCTTTAATAAAATATAGATTTACATATTTTATAATCTTATGACATTTCTTCTCTTAAACGTGGTGTACTTGCCAAAGTATAACAAAAGCAAAACAATAATAAAACCTAACCCACTTCAACTAGAGTCACATCAATATTCATCAAATCATGAATAATTGAACCACATTGATTCATATGTGACTTGGTAGGTGTATTTTCAGCATGCAAATCAAATATAATTATTTCTTCTAATATAATTTTTTCGTGAGAATTTAGATCACAGACAATGATGCCAACTATAGCCATAAACCTTTAAGGATTAACTTTTCTAAGAGCTTCAATAAGACCTCATATGCTTATAAACATAGTTGCATCATCGTAATTGCTTTGTCGTCTTCATCTTCTTTCTCATCCTAATTCATTATTTTTATCATCTTTGACGACCAATAAGTGCCATGATAAAAAAATATTGTTGGAGATAAACACCGGTCATCTAATTTTTGCGAAGGCCAAATCCTTTGACCATTGAACTACTCAAACTTCTTGATAATTAATTTTAAAAATATGAACTGATACCCGAAGTTTTTGTATTATGGACCTCAAAACACTTGAATGATGAAAAATCAATAAGATTAAGAATATTTGATAAAAAAAAAAAACAAAACAGAGATAAAACACAACATAGAAGATACTAAGATTATATGATTCGGCTTCATCCAAATTTATATCCATGAGAGGAGAGATGATCTATCCAAAAAGACATAAAATGAGATTTAGAGAATAAGAAAAAACTCATACCCTTAATGCATCAGAAGTATACTATGCTCAAAGCCTCAAAATAAAAAAAACGATTTCATGAACAAGACTAACTCACCATAATCCCATTCCATGTATGCATTTTTAAAGTAAACAATTCTCTGACAACCACTAGTTGTTATGATGGTATGATGAATAAGGATTCAAAAGAGAGAGATTACCCACAACCATAGATGATGATCACAAATTAAAAAAAAAAAAAATTCTTGCAATCCAAACCAATCAATAGCTAGAAAATACAGGAAATACAAAATCTTTACAATCCAAGAAAATGACTAATAATAGTGCCATTGCTTTCTTGTGAAAAGATATTCTCAATGAATATATGTGCTTGAATCATGTAAGATATATTGAAGGACTTGAATCTCCATCTTAAAAACTTGGTCCTCACTCAAACCGTTCAATTATACTCTAAAGTCAATTAAGGTAAAACAAATTTACGATGGAGGATTAGCTCTTATTTTTAGCTTACTAATATAATATCTTGCCATCATTTATTTGAATTTGCAGCACATAAGCAGTCATAGTTGTTTCTCAGGACATTCACTATCAAGAAATTGCTCTCACATTTATGTTAATCATCTTAAATATTCACTTTATTTATACATTTTAATGGTGTTGGCAGAGTTGGTATTGCCTTTCCAAGACATTGGCTGAGAAGGAGGCTTTCAAACATGCACAGGAGCATGGACTAGATGTTGTTACTATCTGTCCAAGTCTGGTTTTTGGGCCGCTGCTACAATCAAATGTGAATCATAGCAGCTCTTTGCTCCTCAGTTTTTTGAAAGGTCATCATCTACACTTTTTCAGTAATAAAGAATATTTAGGCTTCGTTTGGGACGACTTTCTTTCTGCGTTTTAGTAGCTTTCTAGTAAAAAAATTTAATTTTTGTACTAAAAAGTTTTTTACGTAGCAGTAAGAAAGCCGTCCCAAACGAAACCTTAGTTTAGCTATATGCATCAACAATCCATCTAGCCAATCTTGTCTACCCAAAAGTTAAACATTGAATAATTACAAAAAATTTATAATCTACTTTGGTTAATGTTTTCATTATCAACTTTTGTAGGATCTCCTGAGTTGATAGAGATTTATGGTAGCGGATCATTTGTGGATGTTAGAGATGTCGCCAATGCACTTCTTCTGGTGTATGAGGAGCCTGATGCTTCTGGACGTTATATTTGCTCATTAAAACAGATACAAATTGCTGACTTGATTGATATGTTGAAGAACATATATCCTAATTTCAATTACCATAACAAGTAAGGCTCGTCATTATCTTAATCTAAGAACTACTACCATTCTTCCTATTTTTGCACATTTTGTTTATCTACATTTTTGTGTATAAATTGGCAGTATCCCTGAAATGAATGAAGTAAATGATTTGAGTTCAGAGAAATTAAAGAAGATTGGATGGAAGTGCAGGACGCTAAGGGAGACCATTTCTGATTCAGTTAGATGCTATCAAGAAGCTGGTCTTTTAAGCATGGACTAGAAGGTCATGTAATGCCAATTTATACATATAGATAAACTATAAAATAAAGTTGAGAAACCCACAGTGCTCAATGAATTACTTCGATTACTCTATCTAAAGTAATGTCTTGTTAACTGTGAAATCTATTGCTTTCTTTGTGGATCAATAATATTTTAATGCTAGTTTCAAATGTAGTTGTGTTTTTTTCTTCTTGTTCTTTTTCCAATTATGAAGACATAGATTATAGATTATAGACTAAGGTTTTGTTTGGGACAGCTTTTTTTTTCTACTTTTTAAAGCAGGTTTCATGTACAAAAATTTTAATTTTTATATTAAAAAAGCTGTTTTAAAAAGGAATAAAAAAGTTGTCCCAAACGAAGCCTAATATTAACTTTAAATATGGGAAGTCCAAATAATTGGAAGCTTTCTGGCAAGTTTCCTTGAGAAAGTACTTCCATTGTCATTTAAGAAGACCAAGCAGCATATCCCTCTAGCAAAGTTATGCCAGTAAAATATGATATTGGCTAACTCAGAAAAGAAGTTTTAATACTAAACCTTTTAAACAAAATTTATGTATTGAACTGCTAGAAATAACAATCCGGCCGTCATGGGGAGTTTTTTGGATTTCATTGTTTTTAGAAGTTTTCCTCCTATCTTCCTTCGAAGATTGATGATTGTGATTGATGGTCTATCGATATTGTACTTTCTAAGTTTCTGCAGTGATCGTAAAAAGAATTTTATCAGATATACCATCATTTTCTTTAAGAGGTACAAAAAAAAAAAAAATCAAATCAAAGCTTGATTTGATTTATTTCAAATAGATTGGTTTCCAAATAACCTCAAAATGGCATGGTGAAGACGGACAAACTTTGAATGGCAAGCTTACATGCATGATATGTTTTGCACGTTGTAATGCATGTAGGAGTGCATTTTAAAAGTCTTGACGACAATCAGTGGTGTAAATGATAGTCATTTGAGTGCACGCAGTTTTCTATTTTGAAACCTATAAATGCCTTTTGTCCGCTTTTATAAGTATTGAGGATTCAGTGGCATTATTTAGCAGCGCGTTGGGTCTCATTTATCATGCATCGACAATGCAGTTTAGTTCACTTCATCGTTTGCATATTACCATCTTCTTTGGTATTTAACATGTGGTAGTGTACTTTGTCCTGCAAGGGAGCAGCATGTTGCATCAAAAGTCTTCCACATGTTGTTTGCAAGCGAGTTGATTTATCTAGTGTGACAGTCTGGCGTTGCATATTTACTACAATTTATCAATGACCTGCATCTTTTTACTATTGATTCATTTCTTTTGCTTACAAGTGAATTTTAGCATTGCGCTGTAGGTCACCTATTATTACTTTCAAATGAGCTGTCTGGCATTGACAAATTCCCTATAGCAGATCATGCATGCATGCATTTATCATGGGTTTATATGCTTTATTGTAGATAGTGTTGTGTGTACAATGGATCTTCTACCATAGCTCTTAGGTACTTGCATTTGCTACAACTCTTCTATATTTGCTCGTAGGTAGCATGTGGTGTACACGACGGATCTCTTACAACGACTCATATGTGTCTGCATTTATTGAAGTTATTCTGTTTTTGCCCGTAGATAGTATGTTGTGTGCATGATAGGTTTCCTGCAGCAACTCATGGGAACTGGTATTTTTTTGCAGGTAGTATGCCTTTACTTGCAGAGGATCGATGTATTTAATTGCCATTGCATTGTTATTGATTGTAGAGTTTCGTAGCATCCATCGCATGCTACACTATGCATGTTTGCAAGAGGCTTTGTTGTTTTCAGGAAAATTAGTTTATTCATTCATATGTTGATTTGGGCCACCAAATAGGCTATATTCACCACTAATTTCCTTATGCATGTTGATTGGCAAATTATTGCATTCGATTGCATTTCAGTGTTCACGGGAATTGCTGTATACATTTGCAAGCTGGTTAATACTGAACAAGCTGGCTGATGTTGAGCATAAGAAGGCTAATACATTCGTAGCTTACCTCATTATCATTGTTTCTAGTTCACGTCTGTAGAATGGTTGTTGTGTTATGCTGCAAGTTGTTCATTATTTTTGTAGGCGAGCCATCATGCAATGTTGAATTCTACTAAATTTTCTTGTGGGAAAGATTATCACAAGAAGATGAAACACATTCAACACAAATCCTCCAATATTGTCTATTTGTAAATGACTTATTACATTACACATTCATTGCTTGTACCATTCCTCTAGTGAGTTAACACTTTCATTAGTACATTCATAGTTTGTTATCTACAATCTCTTGTATGCAACTCATTTAGGGGTGTCAATATTTGACACGACCCGAAAACCCGACTCAAACTCAACCCGAAAATTTCAGGTTCGGGTCAACCCGAACCTGAAACGGGTCGGGTTCGGGTTCAACATTTCAACCCATTTCAAAAATCGGGTCGGGTTCGGGTTAACCCTTTGAGCCCATTTTGACGACCCGATTTTGACCTGAAAACCCAATTTTGACCCGGCAACCCGAGATTGACCCGTTTTTGACCTGAAAAAGATGAGACAGACTCGTTTTTAACCCGAAAAAGAGGAGATAGACCCATTTTTGACCCGAAAACTAGCAATTTTTTTGTTGGAAACGAGTCATTCGGGTTGTGTCGGGTTGACCTGGACCTAAAGCGGGTCGGTTTCGGGTCAGAAAAACTGACCAGTTTTTAAAAATGGGTCGGGTTCGGGTTCACTTGAATAGCGCCGGGTCAATTTCGAGTTCAACTTGAACCCGACTCGTGACCCGAAATTGACACCCCTAATTACATTCATTATGAACCCCCTTGCATTATGAGCACTTCACTAGATTGCAAATTTCCTGATTCATGCTTGTGAATAAGTCACATTCGTTAGATGCTCCTTTTTATGTGTAGGAAGCATAAACATCTTTCACAAGTCAACTAACATTGGTAATATGCATGATATTTTCTTTACAACTTTATTATGTTTGTTTATAAATATGTTTCATTCATTACAAATTTCATTTAGATGATAAGGCCATTAATTAGCATTTATATTTTAGTGTGATTGTGCATAAATTTAAGATCCAGTTCCCTGCAGTTTCATTTAAGTTCGATTCCTTGTGATTTGTTCAAGTTCAATTCCCTATAGTCCAGCTAAAAGCAAGTCCCTTGCTATTTAGGTTTTTGTATTTTTAGTATGAATTTTGGTGGCCTCTGTGGGCTTCCAAAAATTTGCACATGGCCTCCACTCACAGCTTTCGCCTATTGCTATTGTGGGTAGTTTTAATATATTAGGTTCCGGGTGATTTTTTTAAAGGTAGATTGGGCTTTGAATTAAACATTGCCTAGATTTATTGCCCTCATTTTGCGAGGAATTTGTCATATGAGTTTAGGTTTCCTATAGGAGCAAGCCCCTAAAGTTAATTACCCCTCCCGATAATGAAGAGAACTTTCGATTAAGACTAGTTATTAAATAGGTCGCATAGGTCGCAAATCTAGTGTATAATAGCAACAGTTTTAGGGTTTGAAGTTGGGATATGAATTTTGAAGTTTATGACTTAAAAAATTATCATCATAAACTTAAAACTGATGATGGAGGAATAAATATGAGCCTGGTTAAGATCACATGATTTTGTAGACCCGGGCTATCGTAATCCCTAGTCTACTTAGTCATAGGAGGTAATCGACCCATAATAGAAAGCACCTTCTCGACAGGGCAACCATGGGTTGCTTCATCCAAAAATATTATAGACATGAGGTGGTGTTTTTTAAGGGAATACATTTGAATCTATCTTAGCTAATAGAGGGCTTTATGCCTATCAAGTATACCATATGATTCATCACTCAAGGGTTTGACACCATTAGGGAAAATATGTGCTTTGGCCGTGATCGTAATATAATATTGTCATTTTGTGACAAACCACCTTATCAGATGGAACTTCTCATGTCCCTACTAGCTAGAGACTATTTGAGGATGAATCTTACTGATACACCCAACAAAATATTTGCTCTTTGTGAGCTGAGATTAATTTTAAAAGTATTACCTCTGACAAACGGTTGCTGGAGGTGTATTGGTTTTAGTTTTAAGTTTTTAGGTGATAGATTTTATTTTAAGAATTTATATACATATATTTTTAGCTTTAGGATTTGACCAATATAGTTGAAATTTTCTATCAATACAACCATCATTGAGGTGGCATTAAAGTCACTTGTATTTTTGTAGGAATTTAGGTGGTGTTTTAAAAGTTTATGGTCCACTCTGGTTGAGATTTTTTGTCAACACGATCATCATCAGGGCAACGTTAAAGTCTCTTGTATTTTTATAGGAATTTGGGATGTGTTTTAAAAATTTGTGGCCCTCTACGATTGAGAAATTCTATCAACATAGCTATCATCCAGAAAACTTGATAGTCATTTGAAAAATATTTGCATTATGTAGCAGTTTAGGAGGCATCTTATAATTCAAGTTTGGTCGACTCCAGTCATTCCAAGGAGGAGGATGAAACTTTAATATTTGACCCGCTCAGCATTCTCGAACCGTTGGATTTAGGAATCATATGTGACGATCAGAGCACATGTGTGTATGATATTTTAGTGTATTTGTGTAATGAATTTAACACATTGACTAATGCTTATACACATGCAAAATATATTTTACGTTTTATACTTAAATGATTTATAGTTATTTACCTTATAATTAGTATGCTAATATAAGACAATCATACTTGCATTTCATTTACAGTTCTTGCATAATATATTTTACACATCAAATCTCTTTTAGGGGACTATGAGTTACACAAGCGATCATTTATATAGATATTAGGAATTTTGACACTATCAAAATTGAATACCCCACCCAACCTTAGCTTCTCTTTCAAAGTCATATATCTTGTTAATATCATTGCTTCGTAATTCTTCCAAATCCTCATTAAACTTCGCCATGTCTAGATATATTACCCCTTGCATATAATAACCCTTTTAATGTTTAAGTTCTATTGCAATAGCTTTTGAAGCATCTTGCTTCATACTACATGTGTGTAAATGCATTATTTCAATTTGACTGAGGGATGCATCAAACCTATATGTTTTGGAAACTTAATCCTTTAACTCATAAGAGTATATCTAATGATATATATATATATATATATATCAGAATGGATTCTATATTTGGAAGTGTTGTCTTTTGACTTGAAAGAGATTGAAATT